CCAATTTACAAACTGAAGGGATTGGAAGGTATGAGAGTATATTGCAATGATCTCTGAATTTGGCCCACTGGTGTATGCATGTGCACACACACAGACTATAATAGGAGCTACCATACCTGGACTGTATATAGTTCCACAGAGTTTAAGGCCAAAAGGGGGCATTAGATCATCTAATCTGATCTTGCAGGCCATTAACTCTCATGCAGTTACCCTGAGGTTGAGCCTGTCTTTGGGTAAAGCATCCAGTCTTGATCTGAAGACAACAGATGGAATATCCATAGCTTACTTTGGTAGTTTGTTCCACCTTCCCTATTAAAAAATTGTGCCTTACTTCTTCTTTGTTTCGTTGGCTTCAACTTCCAGCCATTGGTTCTTGTTAGGGGCTTTATCCACTAGGTTCTCTGCCCATGAAGATACTTAAACATATCACCTCTCAATATTCTTCTTGGTAAACTAAACAGATTGAGCTCTTTAAATCTCACTGTAAACCATTTTTTGCAGCCCTCGAGTCATTTTTGTGGCTCTTTTCTGCACCCTCTCCAATTTTTCAACATCCTGCATTCTGGTATACAGTGCCCCCATTCTGTAAGCATGGCCTACCTTCCTTGTTTCTAGCTGTATAAATATTTGGCTGTATTAAAAACACAATTTGTTTGAATGGGCCCAATTTACCAAGAAATGCTAATCATTCTGTATGACTGCCTTCTCATCATTTACCACTCTGCCAGTCTTTGTGTCCTCCACAAAATTTATCAGCAGCGATTTTATATTTACTTCCAGATCACTTTGAATAGCATCAGGCCTAATACCACTCCCTGTGGAATCCCTCTATATCCTCATTCACTGTTGTTTCCCCATTGACTACTTTTTGAGATTAGTTAACCAGTTCTTAATCCATTTAGCATGTGCTCTATTGATATGTATAATTTCTTATTTTTTAAATCAGAATGTCTTTGGATACTAAGTCAAACACCTTATAAAGGTTTAAGTATATTACATCCACGCAATTACCTTTATCAACCAAACTTACAGTCTTAAAGAATGAAGTCAGGTTTGCGTGACAAGATCTATTTTTCATAAAACTGTGTGCACTGGCATTAATTATATTCCTATTCTTTATCAACTGAATCCCTCAGATTTGGGAAGTTAGTCCTTTTGAAGCACCAAGTATATACATTACTGGTTGGACTGTGCTCTATTTGCCCATATTGAATGTAATCAGGTCATGATAATTGGTCCCTAGGCAACCTACCAATTTCCATGTCTGTCACTAATCTTTCTCCATCATAAAGAGGTGCAATGGAGATACATCATCGTGGTGCAATACCTTTTGTGTTAGACAATTATATATTTTTTTAAAGAAACAAAAAAACTAAACAAGAAACAGAGTCTGATATTTTACTACTGGCTACATGAGTCCTCCAGCATGTCTCCCAAACTGAAGTCCCCCATAATAGTTTCTCTTTCTACATTGTCTGTAATGCATTAAAAAAATAACATCCTTCTTTAAGAAGTTATACTTAATAAGTAATGTTGCTTGGCCCTATTAGCCTTTTTACAATAGAGCAACAATACACAGCTCTTATAAACATTTTCCATCAGTAGATCTCAAAGTATTTTTTCAAATGCTAAGGGCTGAACTTGGCATGCATTTTCAAACTCAAATTCTCTTTTCCTCCTTTTCCCGTTTGTCTTTTCATCAACTTCCTTCTGTAATATTGTCACCAGCATTATTTTCTCCTTCCTTCACAGCTATCTTTCCTTTCCTCTAAATTTCGTTCCGTTACTTACCTCCTTCCTATTGTTGCTCTCCTTTTTTTCCATCTTGATGTCTCTCCCATGGCATACAGAGTTTAGTTAGCACCTAGGCAGCTGCCTAAGGGATTTGACAGCCGGGATGAAAACTGACTTTAAAAAATAAAATGTAATTCAGTTCAAAGTGGTTGCACTGACCCATGTTATATCTTAAAGTTTTACATTAAAAGCGATGTTCAGAAACATTTAAACGAGGCATAGTTTTTAAAATAGCCAATAGTGGGAGTTATGGGTAAAAAAAAAAAAGTAGTCATGGGTCAAAAATACTATTTTCCAAAAGTTTCCGTGCCCTTCAAATTGTCATGCTGTTCAGCTCTCGTGGATCCTAATGGGATAAAAGCACTAGGCATCAATGCCAGTGTGTGAAAACCCTGTTAAATTATTATCCTAAAGTGTTTCTTTGACTAGATGGGCCAACTGGGCTTTCCTGTTTGATATTACAATAGGCTGGTGATAACTGATCACAAACTCATGCTAGTAAAGCAAGAGAGATTTAGGGATAATATCTTCATGTAAGAGAAGGATTGGGCACATTAAGATAACATGAAATAATGCAGCCAGAAGGTTAGTCAGAGTGAAACAGTAAGAGGGTGAATACTTGGGGGAGGTCAGAGAGATAGATCATATAGTTTCTTGCATCCCAAAAGTTTTTTCATCTCTGGATAGTTTAATGATAATTAAACTTTTGTTGCAGTATTGAAGATCTCTTGCAAGGTTAAACTGGCAATTGCTTTGGCTAGGAGAGGAGATGCTTGAGGGAGCTGAAGACTGGTACTCCATCCTCAGGTCCCAGACTGATTAAAACCCAATATAGAAATTAGGTAGGGATTTAAAGTAGGGAATGAGACAAGCCATTAAGCAGGAAAACAAATGGTCAAGTGTGAAGCATTCTGAAGGACAGGCGGGTGGTGTTTAATGATAGTTTTACTCTTTTTGATGTTAAAAGCTTTGCCTGCAGAAATAGTGGGATAGTGGGAAATTTAAGCACTATGGCTAAAATTTGCAAAACCAAGTGACTATATTTAGGTGCCTTCCTTCAGCCACTCAAGTTTGAAAATTTTGACCTAACAGCTTTATGGGGGCCATGTAGGAACACTTGTTCCCACAGTCACCTTGTGGCTGACAGGGACCTCTATCATGACATCAGCTCCTTGCTCACACATTACAGAATGGCATCAGGGAGTTTTCAAGCCTTCAAGGGTTTGGGTTTTTTTTGCCTTTCCTCTCTGGCTGTCAATAGTGACACTGAGATATTCCAGTAGTATCACAAATATGCAATGTGCCACATTTCTTCCCTATCCCATACTTCTAGTCCGTAAAGCCACAAACCAAACAAGCACACAGAAGTGTGTGGGATGGAGCAGGGTGCAAAAAAATAAAAAATCAGCTTTAAGACAGTCACAGACTTTCCACTCAAATAGTGCTATATGATGCAGCTGAAATTGTGATGGAATAGTCTTCTCTGTGCTTGAATTTCACATATCAGTTTGCAACCTTCAAAGCTGAGGTATTCAGTAAGTTTACTATTGTTAAAACAATATTACTTGGAACCCCTCCCATGTTGTTTTCACTCATTTCAGTTTCAATGAACTCCTCACTCAGAGGCTGGGATTAAAAGTGGTACAGGTATCATTGCAGTAACTATTGCTAGGAGGAGCTGCAATGGCATTAGGATGGAGAACATCTTCAACTTGTATAGGCGAAACTGATATGATCCACTTGTCTTTGTTTGCCTAACTGGAAACACAGAAACAATGTCATTCCATGTTGGACGTTTTAATAATTGCTCTATAATATAAACAAACCTACCGAAATTTGAGTGCATATGAATCAGCCGTTGTATCAAAAAAGGAAACCACAAATCAAATCCTGCAGTCTGTTCTCCAATACATTGCACACTAGACAGTAAAAACAGGCTAGTACTTTTTTTCACTGTTTACTTAAAATTACACACATGTATTCTAGTACGTTTAGATGTTTTCAAAATAAATCTAAACTCTTTAGGACAAAAGGTAAACTAACAAGTTTGTAGACCACTCCCATCTTGCCTCCAACTTCTTTTTTTCTAGACCATCCAAACACAGAAGTAGAGTTAACATTGTTTTCAGCTCAAAGAAATAAATGGGAGTCCATTTTAAGATACTTAACCAAAGTAACTTTACAAATGTTTATTAAAAAAAGGCACAATGTTAATAGTCTGAGGTTTCAATGACTAATTCTTAAGAGGTTTGAGAAATCTAAAGAAGGATCCACAATCCTAATTAATTGAAAGCTTGTTTAAAGAACCCCAAAACAGCTATTGGCATGTTTCAGTGTGCTTGACACTTGACAATGATACATATGAAATACATTTGTTGGTGAAGGTAAGCAAGGCATTTCATTAGTTTAATGATTACAGTCAAAGAATCTCACCTACAATATAGTAACTTTTCCATCAATAACACACTTGCATGTTTTAACATTTTAATCCAGGAAAAAAATAGAGTAATGGGGCAAACTGGTTTACCAATGATTTTCATAATTAAAAAAAAATCCATTTAAAGCTGGACATCTGGTCACCCTACTCTGAACTGAGTTCCTAAAATTACTCTCCACACGATTCAGCAAATGCTTGGGAATAACAAACACATAACAAACGAGGACCTCTGTTGTGTTCATGAAGGACTGACAGCAGAAAAAAGCCTCAGTCCTGCAGCTAATAGCACACAGGGGCTGCTGTACTTGTATGGAGCCCCAGGAAAGTCAGTGGTGCTCCATTCAAGCACAGCAGTCTGCTTATATGCTGTCAATTGAAGGACTGGGGCTTAGATTTGTAACTAATACTGGTTACAATGAATAGTTTGACCAGCTGTACCAAGGAGATTTTGTTTGTAATATAACTTCAGTTTTTGTGCAATTTTACAAAACACTATGTGACAATTTTATTTAAAAGTGCATCTGGTAAGTGCATAGGTGAGAATCTGGAGAATTACAGTAATTCATATAGTAAACAAATGAACCTTTTTACATAAGGTTATCATTTCGACTAGCGCAGACTTTTTTCCTGCCAAAACCTGCAAATCTCTGTGCATTCAAATATTAATGTATCTAATGAGAACTCATTTTAAAGAGAACATGTACATGTTTATTTTAGGAAGTTGATGACTGTCCCATTTTTAAAGGGACAGTCCCATTTTTTGGGACTTTTTCTTATATAGGCGCCTATTACCTCCCACCCCCTGTCCCATTTTTTCACAGTTGCTATCTGGTCACCCTAGTTTAGAGTGCTCTTGATTATCCACATTGCAGAGTTACCACATAAGTTAGTTGTATTGTTTCTGCTTTCTGACTGGATGACAAACCTTTCAAAACTGAAAGTATATATAATGACCTTCTGTTAAAAGTTTCAGGTGAGCAGTCATGGAAATGTCTGTCAGTCCCAAATTGCATACAAATTAATTCTTGGCAGCTGTTTGAATTCTCACGAACACCAGAAAGAGACACCCAGCCAAATGAAAAGCAGCCAATGTAGGGTTCTGATTTGTAAGTCAGGCTTTTCCTTTTTTGATCAACTCTATTTTAGTTAATCGGTATAAAAAGCAACTTTGAGACTCTGGGGGATGCACTGAAGCACATTGGGGCTTTCTGGATCTGTACCAGACAGACATAGTGAAGAAAAACGATAAAAAGAAACACTTTTTTTTCCTTAGAGGACAGATATAAGTACCTCCTTCCTGCTAAGCTGACCCATGCAGCTGCACAGACAACACCATTGTCAAATACACACACACACACACATACACACACTCATTTGGTCAAATATTTCAGATGACATGGCTACTTTTTTAAGCTAACAGTTTGCATTCAGGTGCCCACAAAATTTAACATTTACTAGAATTTTTTTTTTTTTAAACTTCACTTTCAAGTGAACTGTACGGGTGTCTTCACTAGTACGATTACCCAATTTAGGGTAAGTATATGCAGCACACAGCAGTGAGCCTCTCAATTCAGATTAACAGAGTTGGGCTCCTGGGACTTGCGCTACCGCACTAAAAATAGCTGGGTAGACATCGCAGCATGGGCTGGAGCTCCTGCTTTGGAGCCCACCCACTTCTCTAAGCTTCAGAGCCCGACCACTAGCCTGGGCTGCAACTTCAAAGCACAGCCTCCACTGCTATTTTTAAGAGCACTAGCGTGAGCCTTGCTACCCCAAGTCTGTCAGCCCAGAGTGGGAGGCTCTCTGTTGAGGGTGGTGTAGATGTACCCATACAATGGTACAATGTTAGAGCTGCGTCTAAGTAATGGTACATTAACAGATCTACTGTTCTTTTTTTTTAAGGGGTAAGGAAAAGGGGCTAGCCAGAATAATAGTCAGTTCAGATATACACCAGCGATAGTTCTTGCCACAAGAGCAGAGTTGAGAATTAAAAGGCACAAGTTGTTTCAGAACATCACTATTTTAAGGCCAATTGTCAGTGGGCAACACTGCGCTTCACAGGGCTAACCACAGAAAAACGCTCAGGTATTTGAAAACATCCCTCCCATCCTTTCCGAGGATATTTCAACAGGACTACATTTTTTTTTCATGCAATTTTGAAACTCAAGCCCCTGCTGTTTACATTGTGTTTTTTTCAGGCAGATATGCAGGTTTTCTATCCAGTTTTGCTCATCTTTTCTTCACCTTGAGTTTCCCTGGATTATTTCTGCAGAAGTGTTCGCTGAACTGAAAAAAAGAAAAAGAAACAAATATACAAACAAAATAACCAAATCAAGCTTAGTACAATCAATATATGAGAATCCGACTTTTAGAACAGCGCTTCTTTTAAAAGTGTGAACACTCTAATCTTAGCAAATAAATGGGCATTTGATATTGTGGGGTGGGCTGAGGCCCGATCTGTCTGTAAGCAGAATTCTGCTTCCAAAAAATTGGTGGCTGCATGTTTTTGCACCCACGAGTAACTTGAAGACATACATTTTAGTGACATATATGGCTACCTAATTTACATCTGCAGTCAAGTATTCAGAAATACAGCTTCTAAGAACTGCCCCTTCAATTCACTGTGGATGCAACAAAAAAGGGATACTTTTGCAGGCACAAATTGTGTCTACAAGAGTGATTTTGGGTCATGGGAAGTTTAGCCTCATCTATGCAATATGCAGTTATAGTATATACAATATGCAGTTATAGTAAACTCAGACTGGAATGTAACATGCTTGCATATGCATCTAGGAGAAAATGGTCAGATTTCAGTGTATACAAAAATTTTTGGTTTTGGGGGTTTTATTAAACCCCTAAAAAAATCACTAATTTTATAACAATTGTGGTAAATCACAACTAAGTCCAGGAATCCTAAACTAAGTTTAAACTTTCAACCTACTCTGTCTATAACTCATATATGAAGCTGAATTTTGCAGAGCTCTTACAGTATTATATTTATCTATATTACAATGGTAACCTAATCCAGGACCTTATAAAGGTATATTTCACTACGGGCAAAGGGATAGGATACAGTGTTAAACTAAAATCTAATGAATATCTAGACATTTTAAATCTGCTCTTCTCTTGAGCTAATATAACCAGATTAATTTTAAAAGGACTAGAATTAATATCTGTATTTAAACTATTTGTCTGAATATCTCAGGTTTGAGGTGAATATTCAGAACTATCTGCGCTCTCGACTTCGGGAAGCAGTTGGAGAGAAAGGTACTTGCTTTATAGTTTTATAAAATAATTGATAATGTATTACAGAAAAGTTTATACAAGAGATCTTGAACCAGCTAACAAGTCTGTGGGGACAAACTGACTGCATTGGAGTAATAAGGCAGGTAACTCTTTGCTCAGCTTTAAAAGGTAGAAAAGGCCTAGTTCTGCTCTGACGCTGGTTTTAAACTAAGCACACAGGAGGACATATAGTTACTCATAACCTACACTCTTGTGAGAGGCTCAACTTTATTTTGTTAAACATATCGTACATGCAGAAGCCTCTCCAAAACGTCAGTGCCTTGCTGAGTACTCCCATTCATCCCTTCATTAGCCAGTCAGAAGGGGTGAAACTGACACAAGCCAAGTTTGTTTTCTGGCTGTCACCTATAACACTTCAACAATTCCCGTATCCAAATTTGTCTAGGGCTTCATAGAGCCAGGTTTCCTACTCTGGCAATACATCATCAATTTCCCTAGCCAATCATTTTAAACAGCCATGTCTGCATTGCACTACGGAGTTGGCGCTAATTGAAAAAACTCCTAGCAGTCATGATCAGACCAAAAAAAAAAGTTTGCTATTTTATGCTTCTCTTTTATAAAAGATTCTTTGTGGTGCACAACAGTATGCTAGTCAGTTTAATTTTCCCTGCCTCCAGCTTGCTTTTATGTAACTGCATCTTTGTTCAAATACCGTTAACCTTTTATTAATGCCAACTCTGGCAGAGCTTTATTGGTCTAGTGTCACACAGCACAGCTATGGCTCCAGTCAGACTCCCAACACATCCCACTAAACACACCAGCCAGCTACCATTCCATATCATTTTTCAAATAATTGATTTAAAGTAGCAGCTTTGTGTTCTTTTGGTTCACAATTATACCCATTTACATTCCCACTACTTCCTTACACATTTTAATATTTCACCGTAAAGAAAAAATGCAAAAAAAAGTGTTATTAATTTGCTTTAGTTCCACATTTTTACCATCTAATATAAATGAAACTCAATTTGAAACTTGTTTCAGTCCAAAATTAGTTTCTCTTGCAGTTATAAACACCTGGCGACAAGAATGTATAGTGCAAGTGATAAGTCTCTCTAGGAGATTAATTTCTGTGACGCAAGTCCACAGAGATTCCTGCCAAAAATTCTGCTCTTCCCTCCAGATCCTTTTCTTACCAGGTGGCTCTGCATGTGCTCCTTGCTGACTTTCCATATTAACATTCTCTTGATCTCCTGAGATACAAACACAAACATTGTAAGACATCAGGCATTTGTATTACCTGCATTTCCCTAAGACCGGTAATGGCAGATACAAGAGCAAACATGAGAGAGGCTGGGAATGCTCTGTAGCAAAGCAACTTAAAAAGGTAAGGCCTGTGAAACCACTGATGGATGGGTATAGCCTCCTTACACTGACTAGGTGGCATCCTAGGTGATCATCCTCTGGAGAAGCTTCTCTAGATGGTGGCCACTGAAAGCATAGGGTACGTAATTCAGAGCTCCTACAATAGCCTAGACCAGGGATCGGCAACCTTTGGCACGCAGCCCATCAGGGAAAGCCGCTGGCAGGCCAGGACGGTTTGTTTACCTGCAGCGTCCGCAGGTTCGGCCGATCGCAGCTCCCACTGGCCGCGGTTCACCGTTCCAGGCTAATGGGGGCTGTGGGAAGTGGCGCGGGCCAAGGGATGTGCTGGCCACCCCTTCCCGCAGCCCCCATTGGCCTGGAACGGTGAACCACGGCCAGTGGGAGCTGAGGTCGGCTGAACCTGAGCTGAGGTCGGGTGGATGCTGCAGGTAAACAAACCATTCCGGCCCGCCAGCAGATTTCCCTGATGGGCTGCGGGCCAAAGGTTGCCGATCCCTGGCCTAGACAACTAAAAGAAAGAAGAATGCCACCAAGAGCAAAGGAAGCATTAAGTTGCATCCAGTAACCATGTTATTGCCCTTGCAAGTTATTTGGGGGAAAGTTTTGTGCTGTGTGACATTTCACGTAGTGGTCCTGGCCTTCATATCCTTGGTTTAGGAAGACAGTGGGGGAGAAGAGAGGGATAGAAACCAATAGTGGGAAGATGAACATCTCAAAAAGGAATAAACTCTCCTGTGCTTTTATTAGAAGCCTAATGTGTGGGAAACAACTGTGTACTTAGTCTTCATAATTCACAAAGTGTGGGTTAGCCTGGGCCAACTAGTGACATTACAGAGCCAAGATAGTGACTCTATTGTTAAAATTGCAAGGCAGTTTCCACTGTAAACATTCCACTTCCCACTCCCCATTTCCTCTAATTTTTTATTTCCCCCCCAAAAGTGTTGCTTAAACTCTCTCATACTCGCTCTTTGGCAAGTAGAGATTTTTTTGGAAACATTTGAGAGTCCTCAGTCCAGCTTTTTCTGAGCTATGGGATTGGGGGGGGGAGTACCCTCCTATATCTTTTTTTTTTTTTAAATCTATTTTTTTTGCCAAAGCATCTCTCAAACAGCTTAGTTTTAAGCCTCACTTAAAATATATTATTCCTTCATGATGACTGCTAATGCATTGGGCCACTAAGACTGGCTGATATGTTTTATATTCATTACTAAATTCCATATAATCTTTCTAATTGAAAGCCTCAACAGATCACAAAGGAAAAAAAACTAATTCAAATCTTACCACTTGCTTTGAAACAGAGTTTCTTCTTCTGGTAAGCAATGAAGCTAGATACTGCTCCAACAACTGCTACGGCCACAGCACTTATAATTCCAGGTATCACTCCTTGAGAGGCTATAAACAAGACATTTTTTTTCTAGATATAAATGAGGACAGACTTGGATTCTTTCTCAAAAGATATACAAACTCTGAATGTTTCGAAACAGCACTAACATTTGAAGTAATCTTAGACATTGATTCTGCCTTCTTTTCATGGATTTTGAAGAGTCAAGCATAGATTTAGAATAGTTAATTTTTCAAGTAGTACATATTATTAAGCAGCATGAGTGCATTCCATTATGGTGATTGGCACGGTATGAAGTATATTCATACAAAAATGAGTGGGCACTATGAAGTCTGGATCTAAACCTTGTGAAATGCTGTGTGCAAGGTTCACATTTTCTACTCTAATAACTCACAGTTTTTGACCCATCAGAAGTGAAGTATTTAAAAAAAGGTGACAGGAACAAAGCTGTTTGAAATAAAAATGCTAGATTTTGTATAATATTTTGAAGCTGAAAAGCACCATCAGTGCTTATTGGCACTAATAAAATTCTAAACCTGCAGGCAATAAAAGGAATGCCTAATGTTAGATGTTTAACTTTTTAAAGATGATGTACAGATACAATAGATATATGAAAATCCATGCATTTACCTGCCGCATCTCCTTCACTCTTGGGATTGGTATCACCTTCTCCTGTAAGAACAAATAATTTCATTACTAGAAGAATCTTTTTAGAGAACAGTCTTATCACAATGAGAATCCGCGCTCTATGTCATGCATCATGCAAAATGACCCACTATCTCCAGATGCTACATTAACGAAGTCAATACAATGGAAACAGACTTCAAGTTTAAATAATAAAGAAATTACACAAAATATGTTAAAAGAATACTCAGGTTGCAAAGTCAAGCATTCAAAAATAGGAAATGCCAGACCTAGGGTTGCCTGTGCAAACTTAATTCAGTCCCATTGGGTGTATTTATTGTGATACACTCTTTAATTACATGATCACAGACCATTTTTTTCTACAGGACCCTGTACCAAATGCATAGGATGGATGGTTCCCAGGGAATGAGTAGCTAATTCAATATTTTATCTTATTCTCATGGTTCAACAGAGAGTCCCAAGGCCTAATTTACTGCACACCATTAAAACTCTGCTTTAAATACAAAATTATTAGATTTCCTCATGGGGTTTTCTATGGTGATTATCACCAAATTATCTAAGTGTTTTACAAACATTAACTTAGTTTCACAACAGCTCTGTGTGGTAAGGTAGCATTAGCATCTTCATTGTACAGATGGGAAACTGAGGCTCAGAGATTAAGGATACTAATTTTGAGTGCCAGAGTATTTAGCATTATATAGCACTTTCTGTGCTCAAAGCTCCACAGCTCCCACTGACTTCAGTTGCAGCTGTAAGTGCTCAGCACCTCTCCAAATCAGGCCCCGGGGTCTCAAGCTGGGAATCTAAGAAATGAATACAATTAGTGGCCACCTGTGAAAAGTGTGGTTTAACTCTGTGGCAGAGGCAGCAATAGAATCCATTTCTCCTTTGCAGCATTCAACTGCCTTAACCATAGGGGACTTTTCTTTCCGTTCTTGCAGTCCCCTGCTTCATTCACTACACACCTTCCAACTTCTGCAACAAGTGAGGCAGGGGTGCTATAAGTAACAGCCTTACTCATTAGGAACTCTGATTCATTCCCAGAATGCCACCTGTCCTCTGCACTGAATGATGCAGGGATCCTATGTGATCGTGCAATTGAAGTCTATCACAGTGCACAGGCAACCTTAGTTCTGGTATTTCTTAACTTTTAAATGGTTGACTTTGCAACCTTAATATTCTTTTAACATGGCTGTGTGTATAATTTCCTAGGCATTTGAAAAGCAAGCTGAAATGTGAATTCCATCAGGTGACGCCACAGAGGCTGGAACCTTTAAATCCACCACACGGACCTCTGCCATTTGAGCTAATGGAGTACTGGTAGCAGTAGTAAGTTGCCATCCTCTCTCTGGATGAATCATCAGATGGTGAGGAGACACTCTTTGTCAGTGCATTTCACAGATACCTTCTGACAGCTGGGAATGCTAACACTGAGGAATCTCAGGTGCTGACGGTATGTGCTCTAGTGGGCACAGACCCTTCTGCCCCACCCTCTCTAACATGTCCCAGACCTGTCTCTTCCCCACACCTGACTTCTCCTCCTACCCTCAAGTTCCTAGTCTCCATAGCTTGTTGTCCCAATCTATTCTTTCCCACCCCCACTCCAGCTCTTGTCCCCTCTGTTCAAGTCAGGTGGCTTCGTCATCCTTGCTGCCTGGTGCCAGCACAGAGAGGATAGGAGAGAGTCTCCCTGTTCTCCGTTCTGATACCTGGCAAATGGTCTGTGATCACGTAATTAAAGAGTGTTTCACAATACACAGCAGCATGCAGCAATTGGGAACAGTAATCACAGGGAAAGTCCTGCTCACCCGTTGAAGACCTTGGCTGGTGCATGTTCTGTGCAGACGGGATTCTCAAGAAAATTTAACTGAGTGTTTGCAAACAGATTTTTCAAAGGTTTATAACTTGGCCAAATACCAGTGGGCTTTTTCCCCATGGGAACAGCAAGATGCACATTCCTGGCACCAGGGATATTCCTATGCCAAATTTTAAGTCTCTGTCCCAAAGTAAGGCACTAGAGCTTCTCAACAGAATGGCTGGGGGATTTTTTTCCCAAAAGCACCTAAGTCCTATTTTCAGAAGGGACTTAGGCTTTTAGTAACCTAAATCTCACTGAAAGTCAATAGGACGTAAGCTCCTAAGTCACTAGACATGGTGCTGAGGTGCATTTGGAAATTTTACCCACTGTGAATGCTGAAACAAGTACCACTTTCACATCGTTGTAGTTTTAAACCTATTGTTTAGGATTCCTGAATCAATTCCACTCCCTTGGATCATCAATTTTTCTGAATGAACAAAGTACATAATGGTTAAATTGGAAGATATCAATGCCCGTGCCTCAAAGAGACCAGGACAAAATCTAGCATTCCTAACTCATTTTAACCAGCTTGTGACACACAAGTCTTAGGCAAAAACTAGATAGCAGTGGGTTTTACTGTGAAGTGTTGGACATTATCTTACCCCTTTTTTCTGGTGGAAGTTTACCATCAACTAAGTCTTCATCCTTAAAGCTGCCTGTAAGAGTAAATAAAATGGTTATCCTTCCTTTTTAAGTGTTTATACCTGATATTGACTCTTCCTTTAAACTACCATGACATGTTCATCCTTGATCTCTTAACCCCTTTTTAGCTTCTATAAGCTGATAGGAAACTTGAGCCATCTGAAAAGTAACTATTGGAACACGTGTGTCATACATTTATCCATGACATGCTGAAAACTATGTTTTACTTCATACATGACTAAATCCAAGGTTTAAGGCAGACTCTTAAGAACAAACTTAGTGCAATGCCATAACTACTCTCCACCACTGGTTTGTCTCTCACCCACAAAGGTCTATTAAAAATTCAGCTAGTTTATTTGTGATTTCCATAGAGCAGATTCCATATTAACACAAAGTAGAGCAGACTCCAGGTTAACACAAAGTAGTTTCAAAATGTGCATACGGTCTCGCATGATATTCTTATCGACAAACTAGGCAAATACAATTTAGATGGGGCTACTATAAGGTGGGTGCATAACTGGCTGGATAACCGTACTCAGAGAGTTGTTATTAATGGTTCCCAATCCTGCTGGAAAGACATAACGAGTGGGGTTCCGCAGGGGTCTGTTTTGGGACCGGCTCTGTTCAATATCTTCATTAACGACTTAGATATTGGTATAGAAAGTACGATTATTAAGTTTGCGGATGATACCAAACTGGGAGGAATTGCAACTGCTTTGGAGGACAGGGTCATAATTCAAAATGATCTGGACAAATTGGAGAAATGGTCTGAGTTAAACAGGATGAAGTTTAACAAAGACAAATGCAAAGTGCTCCACTTAGGAAGAAAAAATCAGTTTCACACATACAGAATGGGAAGAGACTGTCTAGGAAGGAGTACGGCAGAAAGGGATCTAGGGGTTATAGTGGACCACAAGCTAAATATGAGTCAACAGTGTGATGCTGTTGCAAAAAAAGCAAACGTGATTCTGGGATGTATTAACAGGTGTGTTGTGAGCAAGACACGAGAAGTCATTCTTCCGCTCTACTCTGCTCTGGTTAGGCCTCAGCTGGAGTATTGTGTCCAGTTCTGGGCACC